AAGTTTTTCAGAAAATGGGAACAAAAGGAAACTTATACTCATCATCAGGGAGAGATTATTTAAATTTTTAGGAAAGAGGACTTGGCAAAGCCGATACGCACAAGACAGATTGAATGCAAGACAAACAGTAAAAAAAACGCATAACCTAATAAGTTAGACTATTTACATTTTACGGACTATTGTTCTCATCTTTGTCGCCATATTTATTAAAACGTTTCAGCCTCTGTACGCTCCGTCCTTCTTCAGGTGGTTGGAATGTCGAACTGAACCCTTTATTTCGCTCACTGGGGTAGACTGTTCTATTTCTACATGCCATGTTTTTAATGGATTTCAGTTATCATTTATCTCCTGTTTATTCCCTTCTCCAAGTTCTCCACTGCTTTAACCGGGTATTGAACTCACGCTCTTTGGGTCCTGTCACTGTATCTAACCAACGCCTTTATTCACTGTGCCATGTGTACTTGAAGCAGTGGAGAACTTGGTGAGGGGAATTAACTGGAGATAGCTGACATCCATTAAACATGGAACGTGGAACTAGAACAGTCTACCCCAGTGAGCGAAATAAAGGGTTCAGTTCGACATTCCAAGCACCTGAAGAAGGCTGTAGTGTACAACGCCCGAAACATAGTAATAAATATGGCGACAAAGATAAGGACAAAAGTGCGAATAATGTAAATAGTGTACATAATACCTCATCTCAGAAATATAGACAGATACTGATTAGTTAGTTTGAGTAAATGAATGTCGTGACTCGTGACAAGGTTTAAGAGAAATAACAAAAAGAGAAAATTTATTAAGAGCTACGAAGGACAGGAAATTGTGGAGAGCCATGATCGCTTACGCCCTGAATGGACACGGTACATAGGGAAGAAGATGGGTTATGATTTATTCCCTTTAATAAGAAACGTTTTGGCTGTCATAACAACAATTCGATTGGTCATTTGTCTAGAAACCTGGAAATTGTATAATTACGGCCCGTGGTAATTACACCGTTGTGTCACTTTCCTTGCAGGAAACTAAACTCACAAATACAATATGGAAGCGTCTAAGTTACAAGATACAGTAAGCACTTGTATAATTGGTTGTACTGATTTGTACACGAGTAATCATTCTAGTGAGATTTGTCTATTTTTGAAAGTCTAGAACTAATAAATTTTAAATTCGCTACCAGCAACTGACGGCGCTATTTTTGATTTTTTTCTCATTCGAACCAGCTTTAACATTCTTTCACGCAAACCAGTACAGTCCTGAATCAAGGTCGGAAGGTCATTAGGTTTGCATTTTGTATCATAGCAGAGCTGTTTAATGAGGACGGTTGCTGAGTGACCAACCCGTCTTGCTCCATCCTTAGGTGTCCAGAGCAGTAGATCACGCGCGAGTTAGTGTCTTGATAGTCAGCAGTTTCTTGCAAAACGCATTCTGTGTTCGTGTAAGATTGTTGAAATATCAGGGTCATGTCCAGACAGCTTTGATCTAGTTGGATTTTGTCTCCAAGAGATGTTAAATGTAGCCTTCAGCGTCCGAGTGTCGGTTCTGTCAAGTTTAGAACCTAAGGTTAGAGTTATTGTCCAAGCATTGGCATTATACATTAACACCGCTTCTACAGTGGCTCAACAGAATCTCCACTTGAGATTTTCTGGCTATAGCTATGCGAATTTTACATTCTTTTCAGTAGAATTTATTTCGCTTCCTAGGTATGTAAAAGTTTCGACGGATTTTATTGATTCAACTGAGATAGTTTGTATTGAGCCTTACTGGTTGAAGCCTGCCTATAAATTCAGTTTTAGAGGCATTGACATAGAGTTCAACATCTTTAGCAGCATTTTTATATGATGTAGGAGAACTGTTGCATTGATTATGGTGTCTGCAGTGAAAGTTAAGTCATCTCCATAGACATTTTTATAAGTCAACCGAGTTTATTTGGACTATTAATTAGTAGAAAGTCAATGCTTACAATAGGAACGATCGGTTTTCAAATGTTGCTCAATTCGCTTCTTAGAGAGCTCAATCTCGCAAATATGTTTCCATTCTTGTTTTATTCGTTTCATTTAAAAGAAATCAATAATCATTTTATTTTAATCTTTCTACCTGACATGAAAAAACTTATTCAATGTTACGAGGACACGAAGGAACTTAGGCAATTGATATTAAAGCAAAAGTAGAGAGACAGATAAGAATCTTCCGGAATGTTATATTCTATCGTCACTTTATATTAGATCTATTCAAACAAAGAAAGATGTCTTGTACGTCAACTCTTTTTTGCATTTTCTGCATTAATGTAGTTGTCCCTCAGGGTTCTCTCTATGGACGTACTGTGTTTCTAATTTGCGTCAACATCCTTCCTGATGATACGCATTTTCAACTCAGTCTTTATCCTATTTTATATTTAATCTTGTAATAATTCTAAGTTTGACAGGTTCGTGGGGGCCAGATTGGTATTTGATATTAAAAAAAAAAGTAACCTAAAATCGATTTTAACTAGGGTAAGAAATGCTTTGTTAAATTTAGCCTCTCCAAGCAAAACTGCTCTCTCCCGAGAGGGTATTTTTTTGCGTTCCATCGCCAGATTTGCGACTTCTCGCGCTAACGTTTTCTGTTGATATAAGGTGGAGAATTATATTGAATCAATTGCTAAGAAAGGTGGTTCACTGTCTTGTGCTAGACAGTTTTATCGCCAGAAACTGACTTACATTTACACATTTATAAGTTTAACATTTGCCCATGCATTGAATATTGGTGTCACCGTTTGTTTGGTACTTCCACCATGTATTTAGAGATTCTTGATAAAATACAAAGAAGAATCTGCAATTTTATTGGTCCTGACCTGGTATCTCATCTTCAGTCAGTTTCCCACGCCGCAGCTTCGCTTCCCTGTGCCTTTTCGTTAAATATTTTTATTTTATTTTATTTGATTTTTATGATGAAATTTCCTCTATGGTACCTAGACAATATGAATTTAAACGTACGACCAACAAGGACTCATCATTTTATGCTCGAAATGGCTTGATGTAAGTTCGTATGTTCTATGCTAACAGTTTCTTCAATCGTCTTTCTTGCATATGAAACACTGTTCCATCTTTTCTTTTCAGTCAATTTTGATCTTTAAAATTTTGCACTAATTAACTCCTTGCGTCTTAGTGGCTTTACTGTCTTCCTTAGGTGAAATGATTAAAATGTAGTTCTACTTTTAACTGATCATGTCATATAGAAATGGCAAAACAAAATTCCAGTTAAATCATATAGACCTAAGAAACGAATTGAAATAAATCTAAAATGTGGTAATTATTGCCAAAAAAAAAAAAAGTCAGTTTTTCATTCCCCGTCCTTCATAGATATTTATGTATGTTGACCCTGTAGACTTTTCACCAGCCTAAAATGCAACACCATGTTAGGCCTCAATACGCAATCAATTACTACAATAACCGATTCGTATACCTTAAAAAAGAAAGAACCTCTGGTATGTGTGCCATGCCAAGAACCATTCACCATAAAACACATAATGAAAAACTGCAGCAATTTTAATTCAGCCCTCTCAAAATATTAACAAACAAGAAACTTAAAAGAACTTTTTCAAAATACTGATTCATTTAACATAGTTCAGTACTTATGAGAAATTAAACTGATATTAAAAATATAAAGAAAAATAACCATAGTAAGATAAATGTATACAAAATTGGCTCTCTTGAACAGGCGTTCAAATAATGATATGATAGTAAAGGATGTCAATGCTGAGAGAAAAGTTTTTAAAGATTACGTAGCGACGATACTCTCGTTGGCCTTAAGATTTACGAGGGTAAGTAAAATATGGAACACGTGCTTAGAGAACACACCAGCACGTATTTATATATTTTAATAGTTCTAAAGTTTTGGCTTTTAATTAACATGCTTATGAACAGGATTTCGTCTTCGGAGTTTTAATTGCCGTAAGGCAATTATCTGGCAGTCTTGAGGTACGCACGCGTGAGAAATGACCTGTACACGGCAGACAGAACACACATACACATATATAGATATAAATATAGTGAATTCACGTCGATGTTTCGACGCATGAGGCCCTAACAATTCATTTGTCGTATATATCCGCTAAACTACGCAGTAAAATGAATTGATTGTAGCGATGAAGACTTGTAATGAACTAGTCACACTTTTCAAAAGAATTATGAAATGATTCACAGTACGCTGAAATTTCTCTCAGCGGAACTCCTCAGGTATTAATTCACATGTTTCCTTCTCCTATATTGGTTGCCAAACATGTTGAGAGAGCCCGGTCTGCACTGATATTTATATCAATAGCTTAGAGATCGATTCATTCCTTATTAATATTTGCTCGAAAGTGACTGTAACGAACTCGTACGAAATATGGATAGTTGATTGTTCCCAAGTCCCCCTGTTTGCCAGGTTGGTTAAAGAATCCGTGTCGCAGAGATCTACCCAGTCATTTTTGCGTCACATAGCTAACATGTGGTTTTTACTGCAATTTATGTTGAACTGACCATACAGTTGCAGGCAGAGAAACCTCAATGACCATGACTTTTCAACTACCCAATATCAATCACGTGGCTTGGTTCAAGCCGTGTTATGGGTAGAAAACACTACTCAGCGGACACTGAGATTGTCTTAGCGGGCTTATATGATCAAGGTTACCTTTATGACAAATCGACCATGGTGAGAGTCGAACTCGGGTCTCATGTTCGGACATTAATATTTTAACCACTATGCAAATCTTTCTCATTCTCTCTCTCTATCTTTCTCTCCCTATCTATCTATATAGGTAATCAAATGACAAAAGGGAATTTAAAAAAAGCTTCCATCGTTATCAATGTTTTTTTTTTTTGTTTTTTTTTTTTTTTTTTTTTTTTTTTCCAAAAGGGATTCTTCGGGATAAAATTTCTGCCATGAAAAAGCTAAAATCAGCGTTAAAAAAATAAATTCAAATTTTATTGTAATCTCCGCAAAACTCAGAATAGGGAGAGATAAATGAACATTGAATTTTGTTTTACATCCCCCCATCCACACCCACATAGATAGATAGATAGATAGATAGATAGATAGATAGATAGATAGATAGATAGATAATGTTTATTTTTCAGCACGCTCACATCGCTAATGAATGTGTCAAAAGTTCGAAGTTTAAAGTGGATTTGCCGGCAATACTCTGGAAAATACCCGATGGCACTTTCCCTTTGGGGACGACCAGTCCCGTCCCGAAGGAGAGGTAAAACATGCACACGCACACATAGACACACACATACACACGCACATATATATATATATATATTGAAATTATATTTAAATAATTAAATTTTAAATTTAGTTTCAGTTTTTTTGAAATTTTGTATCACGATGGAATCATTTTTAAAAGAAAATAAACATATATATATATATATATATATATATATATATATATATATATATATATATATATATATATATAAAACGTGAACATCGAGGTCAACACATAGAGGCGTCAGTCTGTTTCATACTAGACGCAATATTAGGCCACTATTGCGTCTAGCATGAAACAGACTGTCGCCTCTAAGTGTTGACTTCTATGTTCACTTTTATATTTCCACACGCTCTATCACTGATATTTGAGCACTTTATCTCATAAATATAGCACACCTTAGGACTATATTTCTTCATCTTTATATATATATATATATATATATATATATATATATATATATATATATATATATATATATATAAATCACACATTATGAAATGGACAAAGGACGAATATTTTCTATGAAAATTTCTCGACATTCAGGCCGGTAAATGTTTTTTAATACTGTTTATTATAAACAAAGCATTTGCTTAAATATAGTATCTATAAAAAGAATGTATAAACATAAAATGTCTTATATATATATATATATATATATATATATATATATATATATATATATATATATGTATATATATATATATATATATATATATATATATATATTCGAAGTTCCTGTTTGTTCTGTGGTTTTGTTCAAGCAATATCGACCGCCGCTCCAGTCATGCTCAAGAATCAAGTACCGATAGTGTGGTAACAAACATTCAGTAGCTAATACCTGGTATTTAATAAAGGACAGAATGATTGCATCCATTTAAAGTGACGTCTTGTGTAACAAGTAAAGTGAGCACGACAGACCTGGAAAAAGAACACAACAAATATGCATACTATAGTATTATTATGAAAGTATTCTTACTATTGCTATTATGTGTATCATTATATTTATTAGGTTGGTGCAAAAATAATGACGTAATAATGTCGTTTTTGACGTTAAAAAATACGTCGAAAAACGACATTATTACGTCATTATTTTTGCAATAAACCTAATAATTTTTATAATTTTACTTTTTCGCGTCTAAACTATTTACAAAATAAATAAACGAATACAAAAAGTCAGTAGAATCTATTGATTGATTTATTCGTTTACTAGGGCTTTATTTAAAGCCAGAAAATATTTATTGATTTTAGGAAATATTTTGAGATAATAATGGTTTGTGATAAAATTCTTACTAATTAACCCAAAGCTGATAGAGAAAAGGTGGGTTTATACCTTTCTCAAGGTATTTGCAGGTAAGTGAATATAGCGGGGTCAACGGGAATTGGAACTCGGCTCTCAAATTAACATTTCCGAGCCAGTATCCATTACGCCATCCGCACACGCAAGCTTGCGTCACCTGGTATTTCCAAACGATCACCCATCTAGGAACTGAACAGGATCGACGTTGCTTCGGTGGCCTTACGGGAACAGGTGTTTCAACGTAATGCGGCATTCGCAATAGAACTTTCGAACATATATATATATATATATATATATATATATATATATATATATATATAAACTTATACTTTAAAAATCAGATCAGTTGATTTTCCTACCTTGGTTTCAACCTTACGGCATCCTCAGGCGATTTTAAACAATTGACTTCTCAAAACCTAATTTAAATAAAAAATACAAATACTTTATTTATTTTTAAATATTTTTCAACCGTTTGTTTATTTAAAAAAAAAATGATATAGCATTCATTGTCTTTTTTTGTTTTTAAAACTAAACAAGGTAACAAAATCAACTGATCTCTTAATTGTTTTAAGTTAAGAGCTCTACTAATTTTATTTTTATTTTTTTACACGTGTATTGAACACTTTTTAATACTACTGTTCCTTAGATCGATTCAACTCTGATCATTAACCTGTATTTTATATATATATATATATATATATATATATATATATATATATATATATATGTGTGTGTGTGTGTGTGTGTGTGTGTGTGTGTGTATGTATATATATATATATATATATATATATATATATATCGTTTAAAATATGTTATGGATTAAAAATTCTCCTTTTCGTGCGCGGTGTCTTTTTGTGTGCGTGGACGTGCCGTGGGGCTGGTATGCTAAAATAGGTTTAATGCCCACATTGATAGAAATGTACGTTTGATTTAAAAATTTAAAAAGGTTATTCGATAATGAAGGAAGCGATTCATAAATTCACTTTAACTCTCTATATATATTTTTTTCATCACCGAAATCTTTATTCTTTGGCTCATGTATATCTCAAAACTTTAATAATTAATTCCCTATTTTATTCGTTCATTACTTTTTCTGAGACGCATTCCAATATTTTATCTTTTTTTCCCCTAACATCTCCCTATTACATCTCAACTCGTCTAAGCGACTGTGGGCCATTGAGAGTTTATTTGAACGTTTGACTCTTGACTGCTCCGTAGCATTTTTTCTCCATATTTTTCTTTACTGACAAAATTCCAATTAACGTATTAAACACGATATAAAAGAAGACGGCAATTCGTCACATACATCACAAATAAACCATCTTATCGGGTCAGTTTTGCGTCTCTTGCCGATTTATCAAGCATCTTCATGCGTACGCATGCGCGTTGACACTTCAGTATGTTTGCGCATGCGCGCGTCAAAGCTATGCTCTGTGCGTAATCTTGAAAGGAGGAATAGTGCGTAAGAGTGGAAAAGGTTCTGAAGACCATCAAAAATACTTGAAGGATTTGATTGTTGATATCAAACGAACCGATCGTCAGCAGTCCAAACCGATTCTAAAGACATCAAACGGTATAGACCGCTATCAAGGCGAGTGTTCGGGAGAGTGCAGTTACCGTTTAGGTCGCTCACTTTGTGAACGATCAGACGAAACGCTTTAGATCTAAGATGTGATGATATGAAGCTATGCTTATTGGAAAAGGGCTGTAGCTATGGGTACGATGTGGTTGATAGATATAATACTACTATTTATGTTAAGAATACGAATTGACTGGTCGCAGTATGTAGGATAGGAAAGATCCTTCACTCGGTAATGTGTCTGATTCGTTTGATAAGGAAAATCAATCACTTAACTCTATATAATTTAAGAGACTGTCAATATTATCCTCATCGTTGTAATCGCTAAAAGCATACCCATGATAAATAATAATAATAATAATAATAATAATAAAAATAATAATAGATAAGAGAATAACGCTATTTAAGAAAAGACCAAAAAAGAGTGTTTAACAATGTTAAACAATATTTCAATAGTATATATGTCTTCTAAGTTTTATTTAAAAAATCAACTATAAAAATATATAATTCTACAAAAAATTATAAGTCTTTGTACAAACTTTGTCGTGTAATGGGGAAAAAAAACGGCAGTACTGCTACCGAACGCGTCATAACGGATGAAATACGCAGGCGTGAAGGCATGCAACCGAAACGTGCATAATATGATGGTGACCCTGCTTATCTTGGAATTTTGCGTCAGTTTGTTAGTTACTAAGAGGAATTAATCAAACAGCTTTGCATACATCTTATGGAAGTCTCATCATTCTGTTCATTCCCCCGGCCCGGGAAGTTAATGGATAGCGGCTCGGATTGGGGAATCGGAGGACCGAGTTCGTATTTCAATCGAATCCATTGCATTCACTTACGTGCTAATACCCTTGGGAAAGGTATGAATCCTCTTCTTCTCACCTCCCCAGCTATGGGTAAATAACAAGATAGACCTGGCAACTGGTCTACCGCAGAAAGAAATGGCAATCTACTGAGGGAAAAAAAATCTGCCTCGTCAATCATGTATCGAAAGATACATGATCGCCTAAGAATGTAACACGCATGTCACATAACTGACTGACTGAACCATCCTCATGCGTTTTAAGTGTCAAAAGGTCGGTAGATTCTGAATATTTTTTTCAGAATGTGCACCTTAAAATGTTTGTCGAAATTACAGTCGTTTGTCATCAAATGTTCTGCAACCTCCGTTCATGTGACATTGCTGTGTCTGACATCATACCAGCGTCCATTGGATCCGTTATTTAATTTTCCCGTTGTGCAACCGACGTAAATCAAGTCATGTTTGGTACATTGGCCGGCGTATATTAAATGCGAATCAATACAATTGCCACCTTGTTTCTATTTGAATGCGTGATAGAATTAACTTGACTCATGTTGTTGCACAACGAACAGGGTTTTCCGCTTCTATGAGTGTTTTGGGAGTACAACAATTCGAAATTCCAATGTTGCTTTGAGTATGGACGCTTGCATCTATACTTACAATATTATACTTATTTTGTTTAATAATAATAATAATAATAATAATAATGGAAGATATGCAAGAAGCACAAAATCGAAACCACTGAAAGATAGTGTGAGTACCAACCAGACACATTTACACGAAATAACGATCTATCTATCATCTAGGACATGACAATTCAAACTAACAGAGAAATAAAAGCAAACAGATCTTATATTATCATAAAAGACAATAAATTCAGGAAGTGTATGCTTATTGATATAACAGTGCCATCTGAGAGAAACACCTATATGAAAATTATCGAGAAATTGCCCAAATACAAAGACCTGGAAATCGAGATTAATAGAATGTGGGTAGTGAAAACTGAGACAGTACCAATAGTAATCGGGGCTCTGGAAAAATCGCGAGAAAAGGAATTGACAATTGTACTAACAGTGTACCAGGTCGCATCAACATAAAGGTTGCACAGAAGATCACCCTACGAGGAACATACCATGTACTAAGAAAAATGCTATCAATTAAATGACAATTTTAGTACAGGACCGAAAGGCAATAATAATAATAATAATAATAATAATAATAATAATCATAATCATAATAATTTGAAGACGAAGAAGTAGAAGACATAGTAACTTGAAAAGGTGAAACAAAACTCCTTATTTAAAATTCGAGAAATACACTGCGGACAGTATTGCAGAGGTCTACGATAATAAGATGCTGTAGATTTTTTAAAATCTGCTATTAATATTTTATCCATCGATAACTACTATAAATGTAGGAAAAACATGCCAACACATGTGTATGTATTCGCATTGACAGGGATCATATTGTATTTTTTCATGGCTACAGCTGTAATTTTCCTACAATGCTCTGCCCTTTGACTATCATGTCTTTGAGTGAAAATTTAAAATATATCTTTTAGCGGCTAGTAGGTTTGAAGATGACCGGAAAAGTATAACTTTTACTGCTCTGCTTCTACCCCTTTGTTTAACGAATTCTTTGATATCCCCCCCTACCAATCTGTAGTATAAGTCCAGCTTACCCCATAAAATTTGATAAGTATCTGTCATTGGCGACGGAAAATTGAACATTTGTGGAAAGTCACTTTGGCCATGCTCCGAACTTGTAAGAAATGGTAAATGTAGTATTTTTGAATGATACTTTTCGTGTAGTGTGCTATGATTGTAAATTCTTTTGACTCAAGTTAATTCTTTCCTTTTCAGTCCCCTTTTCTTTTTCTTTTTTTTTTTTGTTTTAACTTATATTTCAATAACCCCCCACGACCTTAAGCGGATATCCGTGTCCATTTTCCAATTTTATTTATTGATTTATTTACTTTTATTTTTTTCTCTTACTTTAGGCATACCATATCTCTGTCGTTGCGTATATGTACATGTTTACTAACATCTGTGTGTCTCTCTCTCTCTTGTATATATATATATATATATATATATATATATATATATATATATATATATATATATTATATAATTTATATGTGTATGTATCCGCATTGACAGGGATCATATTGTATTTTTTTTTTTAAGTCTATATACTAAAAATCTAGTTATCCCCCCTTGGCGATCATTGGACTTATACTAAGGTAAAATAAGTATAGTCTACCCCACTGAATACCATACACTCTTATGAACTATTCTACCTTCGATATATTAATAAACCCACAATCTCATTGTTTGGGCGTGCTCTTGGATCTTCTTCGAGACTCGCCCTATAGCTGGAAAACCTGAACATAATTACCCCTTGGCGGTCAAGGTTAAAAACGCATCTCTACCAATTTCAATGAATACAAATAATACTTCATACCGGATCGGCCGTCAACCCGGGACAACAAGGGCCGCGTCGCTCAGAGAGGAACCAGTCTGAGGACGAAAAGTCTGCCACTGAACAAACTCTTCCACAAACGAAGAGACACTTGGTCAACAAAACCCGGATTATTACCAACCTTGTACCAAGTGACTCAATACCAAATCGACTAATAAAAAAAAAACGAACGAAATGGAGCCGCGAAGAGTATCGACAAGTCATGACATCCTTCTTCACTGCACTCGAAAACCCAGCAAAGAACACCGCAATCAAACATACCAAATATGGAGAAGTACGGTGGGAAATGATATAAGACCTAACCTCAATCCAAACATGTTTGCCAATGTCCGTAGGGACATCATGCGAAACAACAGACTCTCAAAGGCAGAAATAGATAAGATAAAATTAGATATAAGACAAAATACTATGACCCATCACTCAAACTCTATTGAGACGAATGTAGAAATAAGGAATGCAACAGAGTATGGGGTGGACGCTGGAGAAATGAAATACGAAATAATCTCCCAGGAAATGAAACCCAAGACTCTACTTTAAACACAACCTACAGTCCTCCAGAAACTGTACGTGGAGTCATCTTCAGTGACAATAAGTTAGAATTCCTTGAAAACCACGAAGCTGAAATCACCGAAGCGAAAAATGACGTCATCCAATTACTCAGCAGAGTAACTTTCATACAACTGTCAGACAGAGACCAGCTCCCGAAAATCCATATGACGAATTCCAACAAGCACATCGTGAAAATATACAATGCTGCTCTGGAAACACTGTTAACAGATAAACCACCGGGAAACATCACAGAAGTTAACAACGTCATATACGCAACAGCTTTAGCAGCGACTCGGAAGCTTGGAGTCAAGACAATAAACGCTTCATGGTCAATACTCTGCCCGTACCAAACAAGCTGACGTAGACAAAACCCATACCCATCCGGTGGCTATGTAGTGCAGGGGTTGAAAGTGAAACTGAAGGTTTTATCCTTGTTGCGCAGGACCAATGCTAACAAGAATTATCAAAGCATATACTAAAATATTGTGTCAGCCCAAAATGCAGATTCTGTGATAAATATCCAGAAACGATTGATCATCTTGTATCAGGTTGCGATGTTGGCACCCACTGAATATAAACCCGACATGACAGAGTGGGCCAATATCTGCACTGGAAAATCTGCAACTTCTACGGGGAGGAAACTGAAAGAAAACTGGTATGAACACCACCCAGACCCGGTTACGGAGATAGGACCTGTTACAATTCTATGGGACTACACAATACACACTGATAGAACAATCAAGGCCAACCTGCCAGATATTGTTATTAAAGATCACAAACAAAAACGGTGCGTCCTTATTGATATGGCAGTCACTGCTGACTGCAATGTATCTTTGAAGATATTCAAAAAGTTGTCAAAGTACAAGGACCTTGAAACATCAACAATCCATGTTGTAGTTGGAGCCCTAGGACTGGTTGGAAAAGATTGCAGTAGACTAATTGAAGGGATTCCTGGAAAACCATGCCTCAAGGAGATACCAAAAATTGTTCTAACAAGTACAGCCCACACCTTACGAAGGGCTTTATCTATGTAATTTAATTCTTTGTTTTTTTTTGTGTTTTTTTTTGTCAGTGGAAAGTTTCATGACACCATTTCTAACCTTAGGTCCCTGGGCGGGACCCGGAAAGAAATGTGTAAACGCCAGAAATCAAAGAAAATAATAATAACAATTATAATAATAATAATGATAATAATAATAATAATAATTTGAGCTTTGTTGTTGGACATTTGGGTCTGATAAAGAAAGGAACACAAGAATAAATGAAATAATGATGCGCCATATCTCCAGGAAATACAAAAATTAGTTCTAAGAAGCACAGACCATATCATACGAAGAGTTTTGTCCATTGAAGTTTTTTTTTTTTTTATTCATTTCAGCTCAAGCAAGGATGGAATGCCACTGGTACCCTAGGGGTTTATATAGAGAGAGAAAATGAGAGAAAAGCCTGAGCATAGGGGCCATTGAAAAAGGACAAAAGATGTAGGGGTTTCAATAAGACAGAAGATGGCGATTGACGCTGCATTTAATTTTTTGAAGATTGTAGTTATCAGGGAAGCAAGTAAATGGAAGCAAGTATGGTGAAAAAAAAGCAAATTGCTAATCGATCTCGATCGGGGTAAAAATTTAAGATACATAATTAATTTAACGAGCTGCTCAAAAAGTTTTGAAAACTAGTGT